CTTCTCCTTCCTTGGAGTTTTCATCTCTCAAACAGAAACAAATCTAAGTTGATCAATTTATGGGGCTACAGCAAAAGCAGAATCACAGCAGGTTTTCTAAGTTTACCAGCAACTTCACTAAATTATCTGTTCCTCTGTGGTTAGAAAGTCACCAAGAAGAAACTTGAGAGCTGTTTTATTGAGCAGTACATAACTTCTCTTTGTAAGAGATGAAAAATTTGCAAGAATCATTCCATTCTAACTGCATAGCAGGAATACACAAATGCTTTTGCCATGATTGAATAAAACTCTTAACTAACAGTACCTTCTGTGTAAATACTAGAATTTGTAGGATGGAGCTTCAATTTTCTGCTCTGTAACTGGTGTCCCATGTGACTGATGCAACAGATGCCATAGTTCCCCAGCAGTAAACAACTATAAAAACATGTTTAACTTTGAGGAAGACAATCAGTTTATGTAAAATAACACAGCCTCAAGACGCTGAGTAGATCAATGGGCTTTACCACCACACTGCTCAGAGCCATACCATTTGCAGTGTGTTTATTGGACCACCTTCTCATATTGTTATTTCATTTCTATTGTGAAATCAGCAGAATCAGTCTTACATCCTGCACTGACAGACATGTATGAAAGAAAACAGCTAGTTTGTTCACAAAGTAAAATATGAAGGGAATATGTGATTCTATATTTAAAAGGACTGAAAAAAGAAAAAGCCAAACAAGAAATATTGACGCTAAGAGCACAGAAGTTACACAGGATTGGATTGTTAAAAATACAGAGTGGTTGCCAAGCATTCATGGGTGCAAAGTTGTTAGTGGGTGGAAAAGGTCAGCATAATGGTAACAAGTTGAATTTGTCTTTTAGAAGAGGGAGGGGAGCACAGACTCTAATAATACCTTGTACAGCAGAACTCAGCTTTTAGTCTGCATGATGCAACTTTTCATTAACAGCAAGCAGGCAGCCCAGTACTGAGGCTTGTCTGAAAATTCTGTCTTATTTAGAGATATATACAAAAGATCTGACTTTTATCTACTGATATGGTAAGGGCATTTTTCCCAGTAATTAGGAATAGAAGCTAGAGATTGTTATTCAACTTTGGAAAGCCCTTAGGTCTTTAAATATGGTTGCCCAAGGTCAGGGTTCTACACCTGGTGAGAAAAGATAAATTTGGTCACGGAATACGTGCTTTCTGGAATGTTTCCTTATCTTTTATTTTGTCCCTCCTACATTTCCTAGAGCAGAAACAGTCAGTTATAAGCTACAATTTACTTATGTACCAAAGGCATTTTGTCATTTTAAGGCCTTCTTTATGTTGCTGTCGCTCTTTCTCAGTATCAGATGATACTTCAGAAATTCTAACCTGCCATTCTGAGACTAGAAATTAAATAAAAATTCATACAAAGTTCATCCTTCCAGGCTGAAGGGAGAAGGTTAGATTCAAATCTGTTATACAAGTCTGAATTTTTATTAACCCTAAATCTGGGCAGTTAGATTTAGATTCTAGCAGCTTGTGATATAAAGATGCCTTAGAGCAAATTATAATCAGCTTCAAAAAGAAATCCATAAAGCATGGTTCAAAATATCTACTTAAGCATATGCTTAAGGTTCAACTTCTGCATTACTAAATTAAGATTTAGCTGTTCTGCTTTCTGTCCCCTCAAGTTTATCCCTAAAATACTAATCCGAATGTACACAAAAACAAGTGCAAACATGAATAAGAAAGAACTTTTAAACCTTTTATCTTCTTTCTGGGACTGGCCCAAAAAAGTGCAGTTCAACTAACAAAAGCCAGACATTTACTGCTGCCTCTATTACTGCCTCTGTCAAAAATGCAACTAATTTCCTCAGGGCAGAGACACAGATAAGGGCAATTACTCTGACGACTGCTTCTAATGCTTACATTTGACCAATTGCTTTCTGCAGTTTTCACATACTGATTCTAGACTCCAGCCACCTATGTGACAGCTGGTATGTCTTTACAAGCTTTTCCAGAAGTACTCCTCCACACTATGAAGGCCCAGAATTATTTAATCACTACAAATCTACCACTCCCTCTGCACAGCTGCATAGAGCTTCTGACTGCTAGCAAGAAAGAGTCTATAAATGTGGAGATCATGTTTTAATCCACTGCTATCTTCAGATAATTATGCTGAATGTATGAAGTGCCTAATTAAAAAGCAGAAGCAATATTAAATAATAACAACAACAATTTGATGAAACACAATGACTACTTTAAAAAAGTCTCCTTAACAAACTAAGTCACAGCTATGGCATGGGTATCACCTTACTGTCACTGAAGGAAGTGAGAAAGACAAACGCTAGGACAAAGGTCAATTATACAAACAGCAAAAGTGACTAATGTGTCGAAAGTCATGCAGTCATTGACTAAAGTTTCTTATTGCCTATTCCTGCGTTGATCATAAAGGAAACATGCCTCCTAAAGCATGAATATCCAGCCTTTTGGCTTGCATGGGCTAGACTGAGTGAAGAGAAATCGTCTTGGGCCACATGTATGTAGGTTGCTCTGAAATTTATGACTCCTATTTATTTCTACAGAAGTGACAACAAAAAGCACAACAACACTGTTTGATTGAGTAAATTCTCAGCTACAAAACACTGTTTTTTCACACAATTACCACCATTAGCTATACATTTTTGTCAGTGATGAACAAGGGCCTCATGCTGTACTTGTAAACATCCACACCAGCAGAGGTGACCCACTGTCACTATTGCCACTGCTGAAATGCACCCACCACCTTGTGCTCACACTACTCTACTGTTTGATCTCCATAAACCAAGCATTGATGAATGTCAGTGGGGACAATTTTTTCCAATGGAGGAGTTCAGTGACACACCTTTGCTTAATACATTCCAATGTCAGATGCTATTCTGTCAGACTGCCCCTCTGTGCTATCCGTCACATGGCAACAAAATGGAATGGAATGTTAGAGGAAAGGTTCAGCCTCTACTGCCATAAAACTAACATATAAGTCTTACGTTGTGGGCCAGTGACATAAAATAGGAGGCACTGCCCTCATTAAATGGAAAACATAGTTAATGTATATAAAGTAACAACACTTATTTTAATTTCAATGTTTTTTTAATTAAAACATACACAAACATGAGTAACAAAAACATAAAACTAGTGGGATATGTGATCTTGTTTTTGTGAAACTAATGCATCAGGCTAGTTCAGTGGCAGTGGATGAAGTTCTCAGTGAGCTCCCAAAGTTCAACAAAAATGCTGAAATTTTACTTTTCCTGTACTTTATCCTTGACAACTGTTCACAAGTGTGCATGCTACCAAAAAGCGATGACACAAATAAGGCGTGATTGTGAAGTGAGGGGCATTTCTCTCTGTTAAGAGAGAAGTCTTGAGATGAAAAAGGAAAGGATAAAATTTCCTCGCAAAATAAGCTGAAATTTTGGAAGCATAAAGGAGGAACAGGGGGGGTTCTGCAAAACAAGATAAAGCTGAAGAGAAGAGTTTCGGTCACAAGGATCTGGTTAAACAAACGTATCTTGCAAACTCTTGCTGGCTTGAAAAGACAAAGAGGAGAGTTGATCGTGCACCAATATTTGGTTGTTGACGAGGGGCCACGGTGGGCCACTCACAAGGGAAGAGATGTCACCATGATGGTACGGGGCAGGGGGCAGCTGCACTGTGAGCTGTGCTGGGCTTCATGCAGGCTGTGGTCGGACAGGCCTGTAAGCACTGCTGCAAAATACTTCTTCGAAGGTCACACTTTCAAATACCATAGAAATATTTGGATAGAATCAGGCGGAGCAATGAAAAACGATGGCAATGTGTATACGAGTGGTAAAAAGACATTTCTAACCCACGAGCAAGGAATTATGAAAATTGTGAAGGCAACATTGTTTGCCATTAAAGTGAGAAGAGCTAAAAAAGATGCATGATTCACAATTCACCCACACACCAGTTTTAGTTCTATTTTGGAAACCTGCTTAACGAGCCTCCTTTGCTAGTCACATGCCCTCCTTTAAACTTAAATCAATATGGTGTTATTTCTAATTGTGGGTATTCTGTGGGTATTCTGTTATATCGGTGGGATTGCACTGACCTTCACGTAGAACATCTGGGCCACACAACCTTACCCGAAAAGGGGCTGCAAGCTTCCAAGGAGAACTCTCCTCCACTCTGGGCAGAGTTGTTGCCTTTGCTGCTATTAATGACTACGAGATGCAGCCTCGCCATACTGAGCTCAGCGGCTCGGAGGCATCTGTTGCTTTACACGTGTGGTCCTGCCTGCACTTGGAGCCTGAACTTTGACGCAGCTGATGAGCAACACGAAACAACTTTTCTTGCAGCCACGGAGGCAGACACCTCCGTGTCTGGTTTAAATAGCGAGGTTTAAATAGCAACCTCTGAGCTCGTCTCTGGGAAGGCTGCAAAACTTGCCCGAGCCAGCCGCAAAAACATTCGGCAACCGACCCGCAGTGCAGGGCTACGGGCGCATCATCCGCAATCAGTCCAGGCCAGCCCTTCGCCTGACCGGATGAGACACACGGCTGCGACTAAAATAAGAGCTGCCGAACGGGATAAAAAGCCGAAGGCATTTCAAGGCGCAGGCCCGCGGGCTTCTCACAGCGCCTCCCGACAGGGAGCGGGAAGCACCGCAGAGGCGCGCACGGACCTCCCTCCGCGCTCCGAGAGCCTATCCGCAGCTCCCGAACCACGGGCGGGGCGCCGCGCGCCGCCACTCCGCTCGGGAGCCAGTCAGAGAAGGAGGGCGGCCTGGCCCCGCGCCAAGCCTGCCTCCGGCCCCGCTGTCGCCTAGGCAACAAGGCGAAGGGGCGAAAGAGATTGCGCCACCGGAAGCGACCCGTCGCGCGGGGCGGGGCGGAAGCGGAGGCGGTGCCGGCCGGTGGCGCAGGTACCCCCCGGCGCTGCAGTGCCCCAGCCCCGCCCTGGCGGCCCGCCCCGCCCTCGAGCCCCGCCCCGCCCTGAGGCTCCGCCCCTCGACCGCGGCCGCCGCCGCCGGGGAGGCTGCGGGGGCGCCGTGGCGGAGCCGTTGAAGGAGCGAAGCTCTCTCGACAGAGCCCGGCGCTGCCCCGCGTCGCCTCGCCCGTCGCCGCCGCCACCGCCACCACCGCCCCGGGGCGGGCCGTCGCGGCGGGTGGATGCCCAGCGCCTAGCGGGCACCGCCGGGGCGGGGACGCACGGACGCCATGGGCTGCTGCAGCTCCGCCGCGCAGGTGAGCGCCCCGCTCTGCCCCGCTCTGCCCCGCCGCCGCCGGGCCCCCGCGCCCCCGGCCCCGCAGCCGCCCCCTCGCCACCCGCGCTGTGCCCTTTTCCCCGGGGCTCCTCCCGTCCTCCCCCAGCCGTTGCCCCGGCTCTGCCCCGCTCCGGGCCCGGCTGCTCCCGCCGCCCTTCCCGGTGTATGGGGCTGTGCTCGTCTCGCCTCTCCCCCTCCTCCCCGGCCGCTTTCCCTGCCGCGTCCCTCCACTCTTGTAGCGCTGCTCCCCCCGGAACTTCACGCTGTTTGCTCGGCCTCCTTCCCGAGGTTGTGGATCGTGACTAACGCCGCGACGGTGCCCGCCCGTGAATGTTGGCTCTCAGGTTACGGTGGCTGGATCCAGTTTCCAGCGGGCTGCTTCTGTGGGAAAGTCCATCTCTGCCGTCCCGGATGACTCATCACAGAGATGAGTTTTTTAAGTCAGCCGTTCAGTCAGTATTCTTCTTTATTACTATATTTTTAATTTAATTTAATTTTTTTTTTTTAAATAAGGATTCTGTCCTTCCCATGCAAAGCTCTGCAGAGAGCTTGTCCAGTTGCAGCAGGGAACAACATCCTTTCTGTATGGCGAATTTTGCTGCAAAGAGGAAGGCAGTGAGCTGTGTGTGGGGAAATGGTCTGGAGTTGTAGAGAATGTCGTTTTTCATGAATGTTAGAGATGTTCAGATCGTGAGGCCACTGCAGCAGGCTGCTGCCAGGGAGTCTGTGGTTTGAGGTTTGCTAAAACTGTGCTGGATAAACATCTGCCAGGAGTGGCTTAAGCGAGGCTGATATGGACTTTGAGCACTGTGAGCGAGGCAGATGTTTTGAAGTGATGTTTTGAAGTCCCTTCCGACCTCATTTTCTATGATCCGTAACAAAATTCGTTTTTGTAAGCGTTTCATACCCCCCTTTTAGGTGTCCCTGATGAATTTGAATTGCTTGTTCCGCTTATGTTCTTTTCTTAAATGAAAAAGCAGACTCGTTTGTGGATTGTGTCAAACCAAAAGCAGGGAGAAATAGAAGATTGGATGTTTTAAGTTCTCAGATTTCAAATAACTGATTTCATTTTATTTTATTTTGTGAAATTTTGCCTTTCCCTGCCAGATCTCATGATGCTGATAATATGCTGCTGAAACTCTCATTTGCTTTCCTTGTATGTGGTAAGATGTGGCACAGTAATTGAGCTTAGCATCCCGTCTACGTAACTGAGCTGTAGAGAATGGTTGATTATTTAATTCCCTAACCAAGAGCAATTCTGCATCTCCTCAGGAAATCTGAATCAAAGGCTAGTTGCTGAATATTTTATCAGCAACAGTTTTGTCTGGCATATTGTTTGCAGAAACCTTTCTACCAACAGTGCAGCTCTGCTTTGCAGCCTATCGTCTGTCATCTCCTTCCTTTATCATTAACAATAGATGTTGGCTTCCTCTACCCCTGCTTTTATGCCTTCCCCTCCCTTATTTCCTCTAAAGCTTTCCTTGAGCAGGGTTCCATCAGATGTTCCTTCATGTTGCCTCATATCTTGTTTCTCCCTGTTCAGCTTCATCTTAGGCTTAGACAGTCTTTCTTATCGTGACTCCTTATCCTCATTCCTTATGACTTTATCAAGTTCATTTCTCCTTAAGTTTATTCTCCAGCTTTCCAGCTTGTTTGATCTTCATCTGCTAATCCTCATTCTTGTTTCTGAGAGAGGCAATTACTTGTATTTTGGCTTTGCCAGCCATTTTCTTGTCTAGTTCTGCATCTCCAAGTCCTTTCTCACGACTGCCACCTCCTCATCTCATTTATGTTACTGCATCTACCTGTGACTGGCTGTTGAACCAGGCAGATTTTTTTTAGTGTCTTCTCCCTAGCTCTTATTTCATGCTCAATTTCCTCTTTTTTTTTTTTTTTTTTTTTTTTCAGTGCATTTCCTGGTTCCTTTGCTTTGTAGGCAGTCAGGAGCTCTGCCTTAGGCTTTTTCCTGTTTCTCTTTCCCTGTAGAATCTAAAGGTTTCAACAACAACAACAAAAAAAATCTGATTCAAATTGACGTGTTTACCTTTTCTCTGCACTGAGCCTACTATTTTCAATGATGGATTCCCATGTTTGTTGTCTGCTTCTTCTGCCTTTAATTGCTTAGCCTGACCCTAAATTCCCATTCATTCTGTTTATCTCCAAACATCTGGGTTTTGGGGATTTTTGTTTTGTTTTTGTTTTACCTTTTCCTGGCATCTTATTCCCTTCCAAATCTTATCGAGTTACAGTCCTCCATTTGTAGAACTGACAGTCAGCTTCAGTCTGCATTCCTTCTTTTCCAAACTTCTGGAACAGGAAATAGAAATCTAAATAGTTGGACATTCTCTCTTCTTCCTTCATACCAAGTTCTTTCAGTCCTTTTTATGTACTTGACTGAAATTTGCCTCATTAAGCTCTCTGCATGCTCCTGGCCAGGCAGCAAGGTTTCCCCTGCTTTCTTACCCTCCTTGCCCTCTCTTGCTTTTGATACTGACAGTAATCTGCATCTTGATGCTGTATTCTCCTGGGCTTCTACTGTCCTCTTTTTACTCTTTTCTCCACTCTCTGGCTGTTTATTTCTTTTCACCACCGCTGTCTGCGCTTTTACTTCCATTTGTTTGTTGTTTCTCAACCCTTTCATCATCTTTCTCCTATCTTACGAAATTTTTCAAATTTGAACTGTTAAAAGTGATGTCAGCTTAAACTCAGCAGGACGATCCCAGGCTTTCTTCCTGGTACAGCCATTGTTTGCTGCTAGTGCACTGCCATCTTACCTGTTGAGGTGCTTTAATCTGGAATACCTAGGGATTTTTTTTCCTTTTATTTCAATCTTTCATGCTGCAACAAAGTTCTTTCACTTCTGATAAACAGTCTTTTCTGATTGGTATTTGTTCTTTGTTGTCACAGGCGAAGTTCTTGTGCCTTATCGCTGCTATGGCTGTCATGGTCTCTGGTTCTTTAGACGCTCATGCTATTTTGTACTTACTTATGCGGACTTAAATTTTTGTGCATACTTGGTTCTCTGCATTTTTGTGAGCTTTGACCAAACCTTGTGCAATGTTGGCTAAACTTTTGTTGGCTAAACTTTCCAACTGTGTACTATTAATTGATTAGGGTCCTCTTAATGCTTCAGTTTCTTTGAAGTATGGTTGTAAGGCAAAGGTGCAGTGACTTATTTGAGATGGAAACCTTGTAAAGGGTGGAAAAAAGCCTCACCTTTAATGTATCTCTTGCCTTGCAGTGCTGCTGCGTTGTCGATACCTTTGTGCAGTTTCAGCCCAAGGTCTTCCCGTTTTCATCATGAGTTTTCCAAGGTGCTTCTGTCTTGGTGCATCTCTTTCGCCATAGATCTGCTGTGCAAGAAACTTCAACAATATTTTAATTTTTTTTCCTCATTACTCTTTGTTGTTGTTATCCTTTGGAAGTGAGCTTTCTGAATTTTAGTAGTGCTGAAGTTCTGAGTAGATAGTCAAATTCCTTATCAAACGCTTGGTTTCATCTATTAAAAAAAAAAAAAGAGTTTGCAGGTGTGGGGCAACACTCTTTCAGTTCTTTCCATTATTCCTCAGTGATGTTTTCTGTCTCACTGTACTAGTCCATGATAAATTGAATTTTCAGGAGGTACTATAAGAGTTCATCACTCCTGTCTCATCGTAACTGTCAGTCTCTGCTGTAGAGCTGTTTGACTGAAGTAATCCATACAGATGGTGGTGGATTGTTTTGTTTGTTGTTGTTCTTGGTTTTGTTTTGTTTATTTTGTTTGCATAGGCAAGAAAACTTCCATGACAGTTTAATTGCTCCAGTGGTCTGATTTATAGCAAAGTTTGCATCCCTGTATGTAGGGATATGGAGTTCTGGAGTTTGTGGAAGAGAGAACAAGCTGTGAGACAAAGTGGATTTTCTGAAACTGCTTTTTCTTGGGTTAACTCCAATACGGAATTCTTTCTCCTTTCCTGGTATTCTGTGGATAAATTGAAGAAGCTGAGTGTAGTTAATAGATATGTACTTTGGCATGTAGGATCAATGTTTGTGCTTGGTCAGGGAAATGACTCTGTGTGTGTGTATATATGTATGCATGTATATTAATCTTCACGTCTTTATTTGCTGCGAACTTGATGTAAAATGTGCATGAAAAGAACCTCAAGCCTTGCTGGAAACTGTAGGGATGAGTGGGTTAAATATAGCATGTGCTTTAATACTGGACTTGTTTTTTACAAGACCAGAAAAACATTCCATTATAAAAAGAGAAGGCAGATCATCCATTAACCTTCTCTATGGCACTTGATGTTAAAGCATCAAAGAATAAATTTAGAATTCATAGCTTTTATAATATTTTCATAGTTCTGGTGAAACATAAGCCTCTTGTGAGCTCTTATGGACAACATATATCATTCATTGCACATTAGCTCCAATTGCTAAAAGATCTTGCAGTCAAATTTATAAATACAAGTGGCTTCAAACCATGCCCACTTCATTGCTCTTATGAATATGGTTGTGGAAAAAGATGAACTGGTTAACAGTGTTTATAGTTAAAAGTAGAATGAGATGTGAATTCTTCTTCCAGCAGTTACAGCATTTATTTTCCTTCTCAGTACCTGGACTCTAGAAGAAGCCTCTGGCAAGCAGATACAGAATGAAGGATGAAGCATGCAAGTAGGATTCAGAGACAGTGCTTTTCAGTCAGGCATCTCACGAAGTTGTTTGCTTCTTTTTTTTTTCCTCCGGTATTTCTGGTCTGTGAACTCCATTCACTCCCTCTGAAGCATCAGGTGTACATTTTACAAATGCTGTCACAAGCAGCTACACAACCTGCACATAGGATTCCTTTTGATCTTTTCATAGAAGGAAATACTTAAACTACAGAGCTACTTGTAAATACTCCTTTTCAAATCCATTGAGTTTTTTTTGCAGAGGTCTAGCTCCTTCTGAAGTGTAGACTGTCTTTAAGTTACGTCAGATCTTAAAAGTTGTAAGTAACAC